ACCCGCCACTCTTGGATCTTATCAGCTCTAACCTCTCAGATCAGCCATTCCCATTGATCTGCTCATTGTCCCCTCTATGATCAGTGCTGGGCCTTAAAAGACCTCCTGGCCATGGTCTTCTGTAGTCTCTCTCTAACATGTTCCACTAGTTCTTAAGTGCACCTGCCTGGCAAAGTCTCATACCTGCTTGGACCATTTCTGCACCTCCCTTTGCAGTCAGTGTGTGAGGACATCAGGCAAGCATGTGGGGTCGCCTCCTTTAGTGTCTGGGGCCTGGTCCCCATTGCTAAGCCCCCCAACTCTACAGGAGAGGTCTCAGACTGTCACCCTTCTCCCCAAAGATCTCTTCCTCCTACTTTCAGGGGAAGACTTCTATCTTCAGAAAGAAAAAAGACAGCTCTAGAAGGTAAGACTTTTTTCTCATCTCAGAGAATGTGCTGTCAAACAGGGCAATAGAGGGCAGTTTAGTAAGGGAACAATAAATTCTTGAAGGCCACAGGGAATGTTGCAGTACCTCAGGGCATGGGGAGTACAACGGGGAGCCCATGTGGCATGGGCCCAAAGAAGTGGGAGCAGTGGCCAGAACTGGAGAGGACAGCTGCTTGGGACTGGCCCCCAGACAGGAGTTGTGACCTACAGTGGAGAAAAGGCCACAGATGGCAGGACGAACAGAAGGATGCATCCTCTGATCTCATTCAATCCTCCAGTTTCCTGCTGGTGGCTCCCAATTGTGGAAGACAGAGCAAGTGCAGACAAGCCCATCTCCCCTAGAGTCCATCTCTTAAGAAGACAGCAGGCAGAGAGGGATGCAAGTAGTTCTGGAGTAGCATCACCCTCAGCTCCCCACCCTCCCCCTCCCCCCACCTGCCTCCAGCCCATCTTCTCCCGTTACTACCCACGACACCTTTTTCCTGGCTGGGAGGATCCCTGACTTAGGTTCCGGATTTTGTCTGTACCCCTAGGGGCTCACTCCTGCTCTGTTCTTGTCTCCTGTCTTCACAGCCTCTTCTGCTTTGTGCCTCAGAGTCTCCCTCCTAAGTGCTTTCTGAGCCCATGTCACCCTGCAGCCCTTACCACATCTCTGCCCAACTTGCAGCCAAATTTCTTTAGAGAATTATGTTTGCTGGCAACAGAGGGAGGGCCAGTGACTTCCCAGCCCATGGAAGCCTTGTGCTCTGACCACACCCCAAGACCATTCTCTCCAGGTCCTCTCAAGGGACCTGCTTTAGTCTTCATCTTCCTTCACTTTCTAGGGCCAGTTAAGCATGGGGAACAACTCCTACTTGTAGCGCTCTCCTCTCTTCTCCCTCTGGAATACAACACTCTCCTTGTTTTCCCCTTATCTCCTGTATTTATGTACCAAGGCTGCCATAGCTAAGGGCCACAGCCTGGGATTGGTTCCCATGGGTTTCTTCTGAGCCTCTCTCCTTCACTTGCAGACAGCCACCTTCATGTTTACATGCTGTCTCTTAGCATGTCCTGATCTCCTCGTCTTATAAGGATACCAGCCATGTGGGACCTAACAACCTCATTTCAACTTATTACCTCTTTAAAGACTTTATCTCCAAGCCGGGCATGGTGGTGCATGCCTGTAATCCCAGCACTCAGGAGGTTGAGGCAGGAGGATCACTGTGAGTTCGAGACCAGCCTGGGCTACATAGTGAGTTCCAGGTCAGTCTCAACTACATAGTGAGACCCTGTCTCAAAAAACTGAAAAACAAAAACAAAGACAAAAACAAAATCCCCCCAAAAACAAACAAACAAACAAAAAACCAAATAGAGACCTTATCTCCAAATACAGTCACAATCTTTATGTGAGGTTGAGACTTCAGCATCTGAATTTTGGGATTCCATGGGTTCTCTCACAGGAACTTCTAAGAACCTGTATCACCTTCCTTGCAGATTTGTTCTTCCTGCTCTGGTCCTTGTCTCAGAGAAATCTCATCCCCTTCTCTTGAGCTGCCCAAGAAGGAACCTAGGGCATCTCAGCATCCCCTCTGCTACCCTCTCTACAGTGAAGGGAGAGCTACTCATTCCTGCTTCCTTCTGCTTTTCTTCATCCATGTCCCCATCATGCTGGCCCAGGCCTCATCCTCCCCACTGTGACTGCTGCAGTGGCCCCTATCTGGTCTCCTCTACTTTCCTTTCTGAATCAGGGCAGGAGGATGCCTTTTCCCACTTTAGGCCTCAGGCTCACTTGCCCTTGGCCTGCAGCAGCTACTCCACAGCCCCTCCTGGGTCTTGCCCTGTCCTCTAATAACAGTGGCTTCTTGCAGCTCACCTGAAGTGGTAAAGGTAGCAGGGGCTGGAATTGTCCTTCCCCAGCCACACTTGTATATGCAGAGGAGAAGAGCCAGTATCGTGGCCTGGGACTGATGGTAGCCCCCACTTGCATAAGGTCTACAAGGAAGGGGTCTGTCCATTTGTCACCTCCTCTTTCCCCTTTTTGTTCTCCTTTCCATCTCTCCACCCTTCCATAAGGCCAAGATTCTTCTTTTGGTTGGGGAGATGTCCTTGTTGGGAAGGTGGTAGGCTCTGGCCTTAGACAAGGCTGCCAAAAGCTGCCTTGGTACAGGGTGGAAAAGGAATACTTCTTGGCCACTGGCCTGAGGGACACTTGATACTGAAAGGAATGGTGGGCCTCTAGGCATTAGGCTTTTGGGGTGAGTGTTTGAGATATTCCTATTTGAGGAGTTAGCCAGTGGCCAAGGAATGGGTGAGATAACAGGAGCAGCAGCAGCAGTAGGGGACTGATGGGAGGCTCCATTCTGAAAACTAGGCAGGTGCCTAAGGCCTCAGAAGAGGGCCACTCATCATTGCTCTGACTCCCTAGATTTCTGACTCCCCTAGCCTTTGCCTGAGTGGGAGGAGGGAGGCCCTACTGGCCAGGCGGGTGGGTATGGCAAGCAGGGGAGACTGCATTCCTGGAGTGTTAATGATCTCTGAGTTGGGCAGGAGCTGAGCCCCCAAACAGCTAAAAACAACAAACAGCTCCCAGAAGAGATTTGTGTCTGTCCTGAGAATCAAGGATTTCTACCCAGATGGGGGCTGTGGCCTATGCTCTTAGCAAATTCCTCAGAGACTAGAAGTCCCCTGGCCTGGAGGTACCACTTGGAGAAGATCCTACCCCCACCCTTCTCTCCTCCTATCCTCTATTCTATGGAGGCCCAGTAGCCTGGAGTGGAGGCAACACCTACACACACCTGCGAGGCAAGAAGAGAGTCTAGGTGCATTCTTCATCTGGGTTCTCTGTCCTTCCAATAGGCCAGCAAGTGGCATGAGGACCCCCAGGCCCAGTTACAAAGGTGCCTCATAGAGAGTGCTCAACGTCAGGACTGAACGAATGGGTGAATAAGGAAAGTGACTCACTAGAAGTCACTGAGTCATCCTGGGCCACGATGGGGCTGAACATGGGTCTGGCTGACACTAACCATAATGGTTTTTCTCTGCTACTATTCATCAATTTCTCTCTTCAGGGCTGGAAGATGCTTAGGGCCCTCTGGGAGCTACCTGGAAGAGGAGGAGCCAGGGGTCTCAGGAGGTGGCCAAGTCCTGGCCCCAAGGGACCATGAGGAGTGAGGAAGGCACAATTCTCAGGACTGGAACCATGCACATGGCAGACATCAGCACCTTTCCACTTGGCTTAGAGCTTCCCCCCTCTGAAACTTCTCCGCCTGGTCACAGGTAGTCCAGAATGACGATGGCTCTCCCTCCTCCAGCCTCATGAGTATAAACAGCATGAGAGTCAGTGGAATCCTCATGTACTGGTTCCTTGAACTGGGTACCTTAGTGAGCAACAATAGCAACTCTGCAAAGGGCATCCTTCAGCAGTTTCAACTTAACCCCTTTGCCCAACTTCCTGCCTTCCATGATCTGCCCTTTCCTCCATTTTCCTCTTGACTTTCCCTCTGACCTTGCCCATCCTGGACCTGGGTCAACACTGTTTTGCAGGGGCCCATCTGTAAAACCTTCACTCTTTCCCATTGTGCTTCCATACTCCCACCTCTCCCACCATGATTATTCACAAAGCCATGTCCTGATGCTTTAAATCCATTGTTTATTGCCCACAGCTCATTAGTATTACATAAATCACATAGATTGAGAAAATTTTTGAGAAGGTTAAAAAGACACTGTAAAGTCCCCTGGGTGTCCTGAGGCCTGTGGGTTGGGGCCTCATCCCTGCCCAAGACTGGCAGACCACCTGGGATCTTCCCCTGGCTCTTCTCCTCAGGATGCCACCCTTCTCCCAGGCCAGAGGCTCAAACAGGAAATAAACCAGCTCATAGTCAGGAAGGGAACAGGGCCTGGCAGCTGTCTTGACATTTTTTAACTTTTGGAGCCTGTACTCAAATTGTTTCCTGGGAATAGGAGAAGGCCATCCCCGAAATTGAAGGAATGTTTCAAGTGACTACAGGAATATTGGGCAGGAAAATTTTGGCCTCCTCCCCAGTCATGAACCAGTCTGCCCCCCTAGACCTCTCTCCTCTGCCCTCAGCAGAGATGAGCATGGATGTTAGCAGCAAGTTTCCCTTTATGGGGTTTTCTAAAGCCAGACTAGGGCTTAGCAGCATGGCCTACTAAACCTCTTGTCATCATCACCCTGAGCACTAAGGATCCTTTTTCCAGGGTACACTCCTGCAAAGCAGCCCCCTTAGCTCACCAGGAATTTCATTTGAAAGCATGATAAAAAGTCATCCAGAGACAAAGCAGATAGCTTATGAGATGATGAGGCTATGGTGGGGTGGGATGGGGCAGGGGCCTGGGGCAACCAGCAGGGAGGCGGAGTGCATCTGCTGGGCCTCTGAAAGGGACAGGTAAGGGTAGGAGTGCAATTTGGGCCCAAGATAAAGTACACAAGAACAAGACGCTATGACAAGATGTGGCAGGGTAAGCTTGAAGTGAGCTTTTCAAAAGCGGACCCAGGGCCTGGAATTTGGTTCAGTGGTTCTGCTGCCTGCCTTGCAAGCATAAGGGGCCTGAGTTCGATGCCCAATACCACCAAAAAAAAAAAAAAAAAAAAATAAAAAAAAAAAATGGGGGACCCAGACATGCCCAGGTTCCAGTCCAGACCTAGAGACCAGCACAGCCAGCTGTGATTGGAACATTCACATTACAGTGGGATTGGCTCAAAATACCTGCCTGTTTTGTCTTCTGTACTGATCTACATCTTCTTTCCCTGATGAGCAGTGGACAGATGCTCCTCCAGAGTGTGGTGGACCTTCAGGGCAACATCTTGCAGAACCAGCTGCTGGGCACCACGGGTGCATGTGTCAGTGCCCGTGGAAGACCCACCTCACCACAACTACATGTCCCACAAGATGTGGAGAGACTGCCTGTGGCTATGTCTTACTGTTCACACATGCCTTTCCCTGCACACACATGTTCGCTTCCAGCCTAGATCCCTCTCAAGTCACCAGGAGAGGGAGGCCCAGAGGCTGCATGTTCAGAGTGCCCATCCTAGAGGGAGTCAGGTGTGGAGTACATCGAGGCCATGATTCTCCCTTTGGGCCTTTCAGGTGAGGAGTCACCCTGCCTCCCACTTTTCTCTCTTCCTCCCTTGCCTGCAAATGGGAGAAAGAGCCAGCAGCAACGGCATCTGAGCCTGCAGAGGTGAGTGGTGGATGCAGTTGTGGGCCCGTGCTCATGCAAAGGCATCCATGCTACCTCCTCCTCCAGAACAGTGAAGTGTTTGGCAAAGGTCAAGTGCTTCTGGGATGTGGGGTCACATACAGAAGGGCATGGTCCAGGTTCTGAGGCCAGCTGCTGGCCAATCCCAAACAGGCCTGCTCCTTTTGCAGGCCAGCATCCATGTTGAGGATATGCCTGAGATAACCAGCATCCGAGCAGAACAGGCAAAGATGAACTGGAAGTTGTGGGAAACCCTTGATCCTGTATTCTGCTTCTGCGCACGGGGGTGGGGGGTGGGGGCTGGGTGGAGGCTCACAGAAGGAAGTGGCTTGCCCAGGATCACATAGCCTGTTAGTGCCAGAACTAGGCCCACCCTTCCTGGATTGATGCTGCCTCTCAGATAGGTCGTAGGCTTCTGGCCTTGGCACCCTCAGGTGTGAGACACTCCTGTTCAGAAAGAAGTGGATGGGGCAGGCAGGTTCCATGGCTGGAGACTTTCAGGGCAGCGGTTGGCCCAGATCCAGCCTATCCTCAGCCTGTTGCCCAGCCTGCAGCCTACACCTGAAAGAAGATCTTCCCAAAGAGGCCAGCACAGGCCTATGGTTCCTGTCAAACATCATTGCTTCTTGGGGCTCTCTTCTTGGAGCTGGGGGTCTTCTCAGGTAACTAAAATCAGTGAAAGCTCCAAAATCAGCCCCGTACCACTGTGCTCCACTCAGGAAATGGTCCCACAGCTGTGGCATGGGTGGGGGCTGGCCACGCTCAGAGCCTGCCACCCAAGGGCTGGCCACATTCAGTGCCTGCCAGGGCTGCTTGACTCCTTGAGCCATTCCTGAGGACTTGTCATGGCTAGTTCATCCTGTGGAGTGCAGACGACCTCCTTTCCCTTCTTCACTCTGGCCTGGCCACTCTAATATCCTAAATCTATCAGGCAAGCCACCAAACCAACCCAGATCCCAGGCCACCTGTGCACCTGCCACTTCTGGTCTGCTTCAACCAAGGCTCAGACTTGACTCTGATATTTAAAAAGAAGAAAAAAAAAATAAAAAAAGAAACAAAAGTATAAAAGAATCCTATGTCTACCCTATGGGCACTCCTAGTTTTTCAGCTTCACACATAATTGTGCTGAGTGGAGTTTTGACAACCCCATGTAAGGCCCAGAAATGCACTTTTTTTTTTTTATAGGAAATGTGTCAAAATCCCTCTCCCTTACCTATGTTAAAAGGTGAATGGGTTAGTCTCCCTACCACTGTGGGTTGAGTGCTCCCCAGGTGGCCCAGGCCTGGTGGGGTCCAGCCTGACTCCCCTGCAGGTACAGCCTCTGCAACTCCTTCCTACCCGCAACTCCTCCCTGGCCTGGACAATGTGCTGTCCTTAGGCCAGCTGACCACCATTCACAGCCCCTTGTTGTACACCACTGTCCGGCTGCTTGTGGCCCGGGCAATTTCAGGTTCTAATTGGGATGTTTCAATCTGAGGAGAAAGAACAGAGAGAAGAAAAGAAGAGCAAGAGGGAAAGGGTTGTTGGAGCAGCAGTTAGGACGACCCTGGCACCCACAGTTCTGCCTCTCTGCTGCCCCCCACCCCCAGCCAGGGCCATGTTTCCTGCCTAGTGACATATCTTCCTTCTCTAGCAAGATGCCACCATGGGGCGGGGCTGGGGGAGGAGACCTTAGTGTCCCTGCCGGCCCAGGTCTGGCCTCTTCCTTCTCACAGTGCATCCATGTGGGTGAACATCCCACACTGGCTTCTGAAGTCTAGATCTCTCGCACCTCCAGGGCCCTTTTGCCCCCTCCTCCCACCTCCATCCTCATGGTGCCCCCATAGTCCCCCATAGTCCCCCACAGTAGCACCGCAGTCTCTGCTGCTCTTCTCCACGTTTAGACTGTCGAGACTGCAGGCTCCAGGTTCCCACCCACTTAGTCTTCACCTTCTTCCTCCAACACAGACCAACACAGGGGCCATCACATCGGCTTCTCTCTGGTCCAAGGGTCCTTCCAGACCTGACTGAAGCCCTGCTTTGGAGGATCCCAACCACGCATCTATCATTTCAGCATGTAAACCCGACCACGTAATGCAGACCATTCAAAATTCACTGTCCCTGACTTTGCTTGGACCCTCAGCAACTGGCAGTAGCAACACCCCACCCTGCTGCCCACTCAAGTCCTTCTCCCTTTGTCCACAAAGGCCATTCTAACCTTTCTCTACTCACTCTGGTTACTCCACCTCCAGCTCCCTCTCCTGAGCCTGGGAGCTTTCTTACTTAGGGAAAAACGCAGAAGGCACGAGAGGGGAAGCACTTAGCTTCTCATCATCCAGCTTCCCATGGCCTCCCTGTCCCTGTGTGCCCACCTGTGCTCCAGCAGCCATCCCTCCCCTTGATAGCCCCCACCTCCCCGCAAGCCCGTTCGTTTAGTAGCCCTCTCCTGATGCCCTCCTCCTCTTACCTTGGCTTTCCACTGACTTTTTTTGCCCAACAGTGCTCTTGATAAGAACTTTTGGTCTGAGGATCCCTCCCCTCCACTCCACAGTAGGCTCCACTACTGCCTCATCTCTCCTCCCCAGCAACCACATCTTTTTAATTGTCTACCCTGGTTGTGTATACCTCCTCACCTCCCACCGACTTTCCAACCCACAGCAAATCTGGCTTCTGTTCCCACCACCTTCCACAAAAATCTTCCTCTGCAAGGTCACTGACACTCTTCATTTCACAACATCTACCAATTGCTTCTCAGGGTCCTTTGGGCTTGGTCTCGCTGGCCCCCTGGGTTTCCACATCTGAGGTGTTTCCCGCCACAGGTGTCTTGGGGAAAGGCACAACTCAATAACATTCTGGTTGAAAACCCTGGGGCCTCCTCACCTGCTTTTTCCTTCTCATCCACTTGCATTCATCCCTGCCATAGCCAGTGCCTGCTAGCTAAATCTTAGGTGTGGTTGTGCCTCTCTTCACTATAAAACAGGTCAGTGACCCTTACTGCCCTCAGGGGCCAAATCCAGACTCCCACACCATCACTATCCCCACCCCTGCCCACCCCTTAACACCTTTCCCCTTGAACTACAGCACATGGACCTCACACACTAAATTTGGGTTCCTTGAACACACTGGTCTATTCCCCTCTTGTTCTAACTCTGCCCAATCTGTCCTCTCCACCACAACTGCCCTCCCACACCACTCCCACCTCCACCTCCTCTGCCCCCACCTTTAGTCACTTTCATGGCTCAGCTGTGGACATCTCTGCTCTTGTTCAGCTTGGGTATGTCACTCTCCGGCCCTGCAGCCTCCTGCACTTCTCATATCCAAGTGACACCACATTGTTTTGGGGCTGATGCTCACTCACCCCCCTCCTCTCCACATCAGATCACAAGCTCCCTGAGGTGGTGGATGGATGGGTCTTATACACTCCAGTGTCTTTAAGCCCTGGCACAGTGCTGGTAACCCTAAGTACTGAACAAATGTGTGGAAGGAAAAGAGGTAGCTGGCACTGGGGGATGGAGTCTCCTTGGAGACAAGATGCTGGTCTTTGGTTCCAAGGACTGAACTGGGGGGTGGGGGGATGCCTGGGTCCCAGGCTAATGGGGCCAAGGAGGAAGGAGGTCCTTCAGCCAGGAGGCCCAGCCTGACATCTTCCCTGGGCAGGGTCACAGCAGTATCAGGCCTGTGCAACTGCTGAACTTGCTCCTTGTCACCTGCTGAATGCCAAGACATGCAAACCCTGGGAAGTAGAAAGAAGGTGCCCAGATGAGTCTGGCCTTCAGAGAGCTCAGTCAAGGCCAGGCTTTGCAGGTCAAGGTCCAGACAAGAGAGAGCTTGGTAAAGACGAGCTGGTGGCTATCAGACATCCTGGAAAAAGGAGGCCCCTTTCCCTGTAGTTCCAGATACCTCAATAATAATGCCCTACTTGGTATGGCCGAACAGACAAAAAGAGCTAGGCTCATGACCCAGGTTTCATCCTCATCC